ATCCAAGTGAATCACCACTTGTCTTAGCCATATTCCAATACACACTGTGTTTTTTTCCAAATTATCCAGAATCGTGGTACGGAGTTGCTAAATATCAAGTAGAAAGCCACAAATGTCAAAGTGCAGCTCAAGTTGTTGGAAACGTGTCTTTAAGGATCAGAAACAAAGGTCGACTAATTACAAGAAATAAACTCTTCCGAAAGATTTTTGAGGCGTCCGTTGTGTCTGGTTCTAGATAAATTTCCAAAACTGCATCATTCTCCGCCCATTGTTGCGTTGTTTAAACAACTGCTCGAGGTTCTTTTCTGATTCAATTCCCTTTTCAATGGTCATTGCTAATCCAAAGCCTTCCCTGACTTTGGTGAAGAAATGGATATTGTCTACACAAAGTTGCATAGTTTAGGTCTTCTAGATCTTGCTGACTGTGTTAGTAGACAGCAGCGAGGACGCCATCACCTCCGAAAATCGAGTCAACCGGAAGTTACGAACTATGAATAATAGGCTGTTATTGGATATTTTAGCAATACATAAAATTATAGGAACTTAGTGAGGAGGATTTTGGCAGGTGACAAGATAAAACATACCCGTCACACCTTTAGTGTACTGCGAACGTCACATAGGTTTACTCTTGGGGCTCAGGAAGCGTGATCCTTTCAACGATATTTTGTCAGTTGTCACTGGGCACTTTTATAATATTAAATAAAGGAGAGAATTGTAAAAATAATTTCATGACAAATGTTGCGGTCGAGATTTTCTGACTGTGTCACGTGTATATAATTCTTTACAAATATGCACGATGAAGTTATTCGACTTAAACGTAAAAACAATCGTTTTGTTGGTAAACGAGTCAAAATAGTTTGATTCAAATAATTATATTTAGAGAACAGAATAAATGACTAAAAGATCAAATGACCTGTTGCGACCAGCTGCCTCCGGTGGTTTTGGAAGCCACTTTTCGTGTCACTAACTCTTATGACATGTGGCGAAATATTGTGATTTCTATGAGTTATAAAAATGGATTCCAACTCAATAAAAAAAAAAAAAGTTGCTAAACACTCGGTCACGTAGCCAGGGTAATTACGATATCCAGGGAGGGCTAATGGTTTGCCGTGTTTTGGAAACAACTTTTCAGTTCACTAACGCTTATGCCATGTGGCGAAATATTGTGATTTCTATGAGTTATAAAAATTGATTCCAACTCAAAAAAAAAAAAAAAAAGTTGCTAAACACTCGGTCACGTAGCCAGGGTAATTACGATATCCAGGGAGGGCTAATGGTTTGCCGCCCCTTCCACTAATACATACCTTAGAGCAGGGGTCTCAAACACGCGGCCAGCAGGCCATGTGCGGCCCGCAAGACGATATTTTGTGGCCCGCTGCATGACAGCAAAGTTTAGTGTTAATGCGGCCCGCTGGTTTTGCCAATTCTCATATGTATCATGTGACCCTCCGCGGAAGTTGAAGTAGAATCTTACAGACTATTCTAATTCTGATTTTTTTATTATGTTTGTATAGATTTGGACGTTGATTATAATGGTAAAAACTGTTGTAAAAAAATTGGACTAAAAGTTTTTTTATTTTAAAGCATTTTATGAGACATACATGGTTTTGAGAAACGTTTAAAAAGTCAGTTAGTGGGTAATGCACAGCCCATAATTGTGTAAATCGTATCAGCCTGACACAGTATCACATAATCCCTATTAAAATCGCCGCTAGTGTTTAAGAGCGAGAGGAATTCCGAGCCTGTCCGCTTGGTCACTTTCAAAGTAGGGTTAGTCAAAAAGGCATTTTATTTGATAAAAAAACATCAAAATTCATTCTCCCTACAATGGCATCTTCCATCGCATCAATAATTCTTAAATATTGCATGCCCCTACCTACTGTGTGAACACGTTTTAGCTTCCAAAGCCTTCATGGAGAAGGGTGGGATGGTTGTTCCTGTACTAAGTGATCACAAATGGCTCATGGACTTGGCTTTTTTTGTTGACATTACACAGGATCTGAATGTATTCAACAAGAAGTTACAAGACCAGGGGTAGCTTGTCAGTGTTGCTAATGACAATGTCAGGGCATTCTGCACAAAACATACGTTATGTTTCTTATAGAAGCCTCTGCCATTTCCCAACATGCAAGTACTCATGGACTCGAGCACACCCTTCAGTAGTAAGTATACTGATGTCATTGCAAAGCTACAGGAAGAATTTGTAAGACTTAAAAACAGAGCAATTTTTTCAACATTTTGCTGACCATTTCTCCTTCAGTTTGGAAGATGCAAAGCCCCGCCCCCAAATTGAGCTTCAAATGGAGCTAATTGATCTTCAGCCCAATGGAAAAACAGACACGAATAGACATTTTATGAGAGCATTGGCCCCCACCTTCCCTGAGATTTCCAGGTTGTTCAAGCGGATCCTGTGCCTTTTTTTTGGTAGTACCTAATCTGTGTGAAAATCTTTTTTCCCCACTATGAATTTTAATAAGTCAAAGTTCAGGGCCAAACTTGCTGTTGGGCATCTCCAAGCTGTACTGAGGGGTCACAGGTGCTTCCTCACTTAAGCCAAATATTGCTCCCTTGTGTAAGAGATTTTGTACCACCCCCTTCGTACCCCGTTTCCTGTGTGACGATAACCCTGACCTAGTTTTTTAAACATGCCAGTATAAAGACTGTTTTAAAAAAAAGGGGCGGGAAATGCTTGAAAGAATGCTGTCTCTTAAGACAGGGTAGGTTAAAATTTGGTGGACTTGAACCAGATTCCAGGGGAAACTAGGGTACCGGGACATTACATGGTGAATGCAAGGTGCGTGGGGGGGGGGGGTTTGACCCAAGTCATAGGGAATTTATAATTTCATCAGAAAAGCGAAACAACCCACTATAGTGGTGACAACCCACTATAGTGGTGACGTGCAGTCAAAAATGTAAATTAGAAGTCCATTTTTTTTCTCTTTTTATGACTATTAAAGTTTTATATTTTTTTTTAGAGTCAGTGCGAGCTTATCAAAGCGGAAACGTGAACCACAGTTGGCTCGCGGGCCATAGGTTTCCCACCCCTGTCTAAAGAGAAAGGACAATGTAAGTTTAATAAATAAATAAAACATTATAACACACCCAAACATACTATTTATACAACAATGGTTTTCTTTGAAACATTTATTTCATGTTTCATAAGAGGTGCACTATGCACAAAGAAGTCTTGCTATACAACACATTGTAAAAAAAAAAAAATCATGATCGACAACTAGAATGAAATTCACATTATACTAAGTATAGCACTGTGCGGTATTAAATAAAAGTATATGAAATAATATTCGCCGTCATAATTAATCCGTAAACCATCTTGGTCTTTACACCATTAGTTTTTAGACAAAGAAAATCAAATTTTTTAAAAGATCCTGCGATTTAGATTTTGTATTGCTATGTGACCCATGAGTTACGAATATGCGCCGTCTTTTGCATTGCTATGTGACCCATGAGTTACGAATAGGCGCCGTCTTTTGTATTGCTATGTGACCCATGAGTTACGAATAGGCGCCGTCTTTTGTATTGCTATGTGACCCATGAGTTACGAATAGGCCCCTGTTTTCAAACCCCCAGTGCATGATTCCCTCACAAAGTGGCACTGGAAATCTGTGAAATTTCCTCATCAACACCAGGAACAGAAACATTGCAAATCCCATCTACATGCATAGGAGCCAAAATGATCAATAAATTGATCGTGGGCCCTTAAGATATAGAA